GCCAAGTGTTTTAAGATTTTGTCATTCCTGCTCTCCAGACCCTGGAGTAAGTCAGGGCCCAAAGAGTCCTGCAAGAAATGAGGAAGAAAGGAACCCGATTTGGCATCCTTGCAAATAGAACTATGTCTCGCCATGCCTCTGCCATCTTTCCCCCCAGAGCATCCGTAGAAGTTGGCCCCGTCTTGAGGATTTTGCTCAGATGCCACCTGGGTGCCTCCATCGCTTCTTTTACCTACAGGTTGGCGGCTTCGTTCTCGTTTTATCTTCCGGGCTCTTTGCCCGGCAGCTTCAGGAGATGCAGTTTAGCTTCGCTGGTGTGATGTATGCATCGCGCGCTGGGGCATCCTCTTTCCTCATCTCTGAACTCTACCCTTTAATATCAGCTAATATATGCCTGAAAGAACTTTCATGAAAGATGGTGAAAACTAGGAAAATATATAGACGGAACCGAGGTAAGTTTATCAGAGGTCAGGAAAAGATCTCTTCTGGACATTCGAAAGCTCATAAAGGTGATGGCTGCTTTTGGGTTTCTCTAGATGGCGTGGCAGAGACCAGTGTGCATGTGTTGATCAAGTGACCTTATCCATAGTGGGCTAATTCATTTTGCTCTCATGAGTCATAAAACTTCGTTCTTAATCCTGTCTGCCCTTTTTCTTGCAAAATACACACTATTTTGACTGAACCGAAGTCTAAGAATGTGATTGGCTCAGCTCAAATACAGCACTACTAGAAAAGTTCATTCAGCAAGTACTTATTGGTCACATAACATGTGACACTGTGATTCAAAAGGTGTATGTTTCAAAGGCCTTGTATAAAGGACCACATTTGGCTACTTGGTTACTCTTAATTATGCTGTCAGCAAAGCAAAAGCTAGAGGAATTTATTTTTAAGTTTTCTGAAGTAAAGATTCTGTGAAAGATGAGGGCAAGCTTCATGTTGGTTTTGTATTCACCGTTGAGGTTGATGTTATTTACATTTACTTACCTTTTGCTATACCAATTAATTGGAAATGATTTTTGAAAACTATAAAGGTAGGAAATTTTACTTCCCAGTAGTAGGAAAAGTAGGTCTTACAAATTAAATATAGCAGTAAACTGGAAGCTGTATAGAAAAGGCTCAGTTATAGTTTAAATTTTTATATTTTATTTACAGAATTTTTTGGACAAGAATATCGCTTTAATAGCTATTTTACATCCCATTAACATAAATAATTACTTATTATTTAGTACAGTCAACAATCTGCTCAGTATTAATTTTGAGAACAGATTTAAGTAACTTACAAATGGCTTAGAATGTTTTTCACTCAGTCTCAAAATTCATTTTCCTTATGGAAGCACAATTATCTTCTTGTCTGCTTTCTTGAATGTTGCTGGTGAGCTAGTAATTTTGCATGCCTCAGTAAAGACAGCTGATAGGCTGTTGGTACAGAGTCTTGGCATGGATGCAGCATTTCATCCAAACTTAAATTAAAAAACATAATGTGGTGTGCACATGTCCATGCGGGAGGGTGTGATCATGTGGAAGCCAGAGGTCAATCCAGGTGTCGTTCCCCTGGGACTTAGGGGAAACTTGCTAGTTTGAAAGTCCCAGGAATCCACCTGTCTGAGCTCCCCAGTTCTGTTATTACACGTGGACACCACCATGTCCAGCCTGCTGCGGACTCAAATCGGCTCCTTGGGTTTGTGTTTTGCCAACTGAGCGATCTCCCCAGCACCCAAAATTAATAACTTTAATTTATTCCCTCAAAACATATTGAAGATTTATTAGGTGCTAATTAACTCATTGCTAGGCACCTCATATAAAATAATGAATGGAGGCAGACAAGGGCTCACTCTCTTTGAAGGCTTTTCCGATTACAGAATTAAATAATTTTTGGTGCTTAGGAGTATTTCCTCATGGAATCAATTAGTATTTTGCTTGCCTGAACTTAAGATCTTTGTTGTTTTGAGTCAGGCACTCACTATGTAGTGCAGGCTGGCCTAATCCTTCATCCTCCTGTCTCAGCCTGTCTAGGCTGAGTTGATTCGTGCGCCACCACCACCACACCAGGCTCCAAACCGAGTCATTCATTACTCAGTTAGTTACTCTGTTTGTGAGGTTATTTTCTTGTCTGTTTGCTTAACACCTGTCTTCCTCCATGCTACTAGTTTGTTTTGCTTCTACTTTTGTAACTTATCTCTAAAACCAATTGACTTTTGCACCTTGTGTTAAAGAGTGAGTTTCTTGACTCAGTTATTTGCTAGGAAATGTTCTTGTATATTCCCATTTGTATTTTTGATCAGTGAATTACAGAGATATACAATATTTTAGATGGATTTTTTAACTGTGATGTTATTGCCAGAAAAATTGGTAAAGCTAATGAATTTTTATGAATTCATATTTTCATATCTTCAAGATAGTTGCAATTTGCCTTAAAGTGATAAGAATAAAAAATTTTTAGAAAATTATCTTGTCACTATTTATGCCTTACAGTAAACCTTATTTATATATTTATCTCTAATAGGAACACATTTTTAAGAGGGAGAGAACAGCAAATAAAAACAAATAGTATATGTATGTCCTGTAGATTATAATAGATTCAAAATTACCTCATGTTTAGGATAACTAAATTACATTTAGGATGACTTAAACTTTGGTGAAGAGTTAAGGATGCCGATTTTGAGGGTAAAATTTAACACTGTCAGATGACACCATTCTATAAATACATTGCTATTTTAGCTTCTGTGGGTTTGTTAAGATTTTTATTTATGTGTGTGTGGCGGGAGTACCCGCAGAAGTCAGTAGAGGGAGTATAAGGCCTTGTATGGGTGCCATGGGTGCCATGGGTGCCGTGGGTGCTGGGAAGCAGACCTCTGGAGGAACACGAGGCACCCCTAACTGCTGAGCCATCTCTCCAGCTTCATTTCAGGTTGGTTTCTGTGTGTTTGTCTTTCGTTTTGGTCTTTTTGAGGCAGGGTCTCACTATGTAGATCTGGCCAGGAACTCTCTGTGTAGACCAGGCTGGCCTCATGCTCACAGAGATCCACCTGCCTCTGCCTCTGGAGTGCTGGGATTAAAGGCGTGCTCCTCAACTCGCCTTATTTCTTGTTTTTGAAGTAAGTGCCTTAATTAAATTTATGGTAGTATTTATGGAACCCGTTTGATGTACTTTATCTATTTTTTGCTAAAATTATAGAAATGAGTTTTTTCCTATGACATCTTTATTCATTTTTACTTCCCCTAGTTTTCAAGACTAAACTTCTATCTTTTCACTAATCCTACTAACTTATAATTAAGAATTTTCGATAAATCTGTAGATCTTATTGTCTGTATCATTCATTTGTAATCATGAGTCCAGTTTATTTTTGTGTTGTATTGCTATGCTTTATGTTTCCAAACTAGGGTGGCCAGTTACATCTTCTAAGTGTACTTCTGAAATATTTCAATATAAAGTTATTTAAGATCATATACCTTCATGAAAGCCTAATCTACGTGGAACCACACAGATACGGGATATGAACAGAATTAAACTACTTTAGTACTAGGCTAATCTAGACAATCTCTGGTTTAAAGGTGGTTTTATCTCTGAAGGAAGAATGCAAGATGTTTAAACTCTGAGACATCTCCAGTAGATAAGAGCGCAGCTTTTCAAAGTCACTTTCACTGCTCTTTAAGGTAGGCGAGGTTGTAATCAAAACTGCTGTTGAACAGTATTCAGAACTGTTGGCTATGCACTGCTGGGAAATCGTGAAATTAACTTAGAAGGTACTTTCTTTAAAATTGTGAAGGTAGGAAAACTAACACTACATCACAGATGGTAAAGGTGCATTTTTTTTGTTTTTAGTTTTTCGAGACAGGGTTTCTCTGTGTAGCCCTGGCTGAGCTCAAAGTCAGAGAGATCTGCCTCCTGAGTGCTGGGGATTAAAGGCATGCCCCACCACTGCCTGGTTCATGTGTTTTAAAATAAATATTTATCTTGTTTATGTGTGTGTACATTTACTAGGTTACTTTTTAAAGTGTATTCCATACTGTGAATTATAGCTATAAGCAAAAGGAGGATGTTTTCTTCGTGTTTCTTTAGAACTAAACAGAGTTCAGATTTTTGTTTATTTTTCCCCTAGAAAGTAGAAAAGGGAAATGTTAGAATGTTACCTATAAAATATGAATTTTAGAAGAGACACTAAATATTTTAAAGGAGATTTGATGCTCTTTTCAGAAAGGTATTTTCAGGGTAAGGAGCAGGAAATCAAAATGTTGGTTTAAAAAAAAAAAGACAATCATGATTCACACTGTACAGAAAAGGTATTTTCCTGATGGATCTATATCTGATGTATTCAGTAGATCAGAGACTATTACCAATCTATTTTGGTACATTATAAGCTAACATTTAATAAAGCAAAATAATAAATGTGGGACAAATGTAAGGTTTTTATTTCGTTCCTTCCTGATTTCTCTTAACTTTTATATCTGTATTATTCATAAGAAAACTAATTGCCATCTTTCACAGAGTAATTATCATAAGAATAAGTTATGTTTTAAGATGATAAAAACTCGTCCCCAATCAAAAAACAGCTATTTAATAAGGTTTCTCTATATAGCATGAGCAAATAACTTCGTAAATATTTAGCTTTGATTTGCTACTCAGTTTATTCTGTTTATTTAAATAAACATGCTTAAAACTGTGTATAGAATTTTAAAATGGGAAACTTACAAGAATTGTGAACAAAATTAAGAGAAGTATGTAATGAAATAATATATATAACCCAAAGAAGGTAGGGATTATGTATGTCATGCTGAGATTTTTAATAAAATGTAAACATCTCATTGTTCTTTCCCCTTACTCTCTATAGATTTCAATATATTATTGTTGTGGTCTACTTAAGAGATTTAAAAAGCATTGGTTTTCACCATATCTGAGAGGTCAGTCTGCTACATATCAAGAACCTGTTTCAAAAACTAAACCAAAACAGAATTGTTTTTTCAGACTTCTAGTGCTGGATTCCTTTAAGTGACAGGTATATTAAACCCTACATTTTTTAAAAAGTTGCTAAGCATAAATCTTACCATAGAAATAATCCAGTTGAACCAAAGCCTATGTGCTCTTCATTTTTCAGCAATGTACTAATAATGCCCCGTGAACTATGAATACTACCACTCACCAGCAGGGGGAGTGAGTTGGCCTTGAAAGGTAAGCTAGGAAGGCCACGTGACTTCCTGTTTTGCATTGAACTGTTGTGGCAGCTGTGCTCCTGTTTTAGTCCAGTGTAGAAAAAGCCATCAAAAAGGGACAAAAAGCCATCAAAAAGGGACAAAGGCGACTAGTGTGTCAGTTGTGGAGATGGCGACATAGTTAACCATCACAATTACCTTATAGGAAGCAAATTGGGAAAAAAATTTTAAAGATCCAAACAATTTTATGTTGAGCAATCGTACACTTCTGGTTAAATTACAGACAGCTCAAGGAAGAATAGTGGAACAGAAGATAATCTTTCTAAACCCAGATGTTAAAAACTGAGAAAGTAGAAGGCGCAAACTTCAAGATACTGCTTTTCTTTTCACTCCGGGTGGCGAAAGTGGATGGGAACCAAGCGGAGAGTACCAAACACGAAGGAGAGAAGATGTCACAGTACTAGAGTCTGGTGGATAAACAGAAACCAGCACCTTAGAGCCGTGGCACACTGCTCTGCAGATGTCAGAGTCAACATTTCTCAGTACTTTGTATTTAAAATTGAAATGGAGTTCTAAATAGACACATTTTTAAAATACAAATAAGTGGATCAAAATTTTGTTGTTTTTTTAATATACACTTCAGCTAAGGGATACATTTTGTTAGAATATTTCTACAATGAAGTGATTTTTCACTATGAAAATTGAGAATAGAATTGTTTTCATTATCCATTATAAACACAACAAATAACTCGGTCCTGGATTTATTTGGAGGTGTAGCTGAGTGATGTGTCAACTTTTAGTGTCTCCTAGGAGCCTCAAAATGCCTAATAAGTAGATATGTGTTGAATTAAAAGATATGTTCTATTTGTTATTATTTCAAGTAGAACTTTTAAGACGTAGGTTTTAATTAACTGCGTCAAAATGAACTTAAAGACCCGCACTGTGAAGCGGAACAATGAACTGAATTGTGGCAGCCTCGCCACTTACCAATATAAGGGTGCAACAATGCTGTCGGAACTGTTTCCGACGGTGGGTCCAGGCAACTTGTAGCCAAATGCATGGTAACCCATGTGTATTCACTGGAAACGTGCTCCTTGAGCTCTTACTACTTCCATAGCGCATAGAAATCTTCATTATAAAGTAGACAAAGCCTTATATTCAGTGAATAATGCCATTGAACATGTGGACATTTGTAAAATTAAATGTGTGCCACCAGTCCTGAGGAAATGGTCCTTTGGGGGAGACCATTTAGCAATGAGACTAGAGTTCGTGTTGGTGGGGGATTTTGAAGTCAGTTCTCTTGTAATGCTCTGTTGTAACATACTGTAGTGTGTGTCCTGGTATTGAGTCTGTTTTAATTAGGAAGTGTGTCTGAAACAAACTGGCACTCCTACTTAAGCACATTGTGTGCCTCCTCCTTACAGGTTGTGAGGGGTACGAGCTGAAGAGTTGTATGAACCATCTAACCTTTTGAAGTCATTTTATAAATTTTTCTAATGCTTCTGTACATGGAAAAATTGCTAGAATAGTCTTTTAGGAAGCACATTAATAAAGTGGCAGCTTTATTATGAACCATTTCCTTATTGCAAGCTTAATGCATATCAGAGTCTAATGGAATAATTGTTGTAACTTCGTCATTATTTCAGACTACATAGTATACACGAGATTTAATGATTTAATACGAGCCGGGCGGTGGCAGTGCACACCTTTAAGCCCAGCACTTGGGAGGCAACGCCAGGCGGATCTCTGTGAGTTCAAGGCCAGCCTGGTCTACAGAGCGAGATCCAGGACAGGCACCAAAACTACACGGAAAAACCCTGTGTGTGTGTGTGTGTAGGGGGAGATTGTACAGACTATAACTAAACTTACAACCAAAAAAGGGAAAGAAAATAGCTCATACCTTGTTCTATTCTGGAAGAACTAAAGGTGACATTAGGAATATCAATATAGTGACTTCTGGTGAGCAAAAAAACAGGACAAATCAGTATAAAATTTATTTTTCCCTAACAAATCAAATATAAAAAAATTAGTGAGAAATATGTATTCACAATGGAAATGGTGTTTTAAGTATTGCTCCTCAGATATTTTAAGTATTTTCCGAAGACCTAGGGCTAAGGAGTTAACTCAGTAGAATGCACCTGAGATCAATACCAAGAACCCACATGAGAAAAAGATAGACATGATGGCAGATCACTGTAATCTCAACTACCAGAGGAAGCAGACAGGTGGGTTCCCAGGGATCACTGGACAACCAACGTAGCCTACTTGGTGTATTCCAGGCCAGTAAGAGACCCTGTCTCAAAAAGAAGTGTTTGGAGTCTGAAAAATGACCCTGACGGTTGTAGGTTTCTGACCTACACTTGTATGAACACCCCTATATATGTGCACATAATAAACCCACGAGTACCAAGATCTAAATTGTTTTTAATAGTTACGTTTCTAATTTGGCAGTATCTTTCTTCACTGCTTCTAAAATCATCTGTCCAGTGTAGTGTCTGTATTACCTTGCATTTAATCCTGACATCAACTTTCATTAGATTTTCTTCCTATACATTCAGATATTCTTCAGAACATTTTCTTATGTAAGGAGAAAAGACAGTATTAAACCAGAAGACCTCTAGTAGTATTTGACAGTATTTTAGATGTGCAAAGATAATTTAAGACATTTCTGCAGGGCATATAAATGATGCATTGCAAAAGTATTTTTTTAAAATTTACTGGCTTTCTTTAAAACTTTGAATATTGATAACAGCAAGGAATTCAGAATTGATAAAGCTTTGTTTAATTTGTATTTACATTAAATCTAGCTATAGTATTGCTGTAAGAATATTATAGTTACGATGTTGAGTGCTCACTAGAAAACTAGTTTGAAAATCATTTTGAGGACTATTAAATTAATGAAAAGAATAGCATGAAAATGTAGATTTGTAGATCCAAACTTGGAAGATGGCAGATCTTTATGTTAGAATGTACAAGGTTGGTGTGGAGGTACACATCTGTAATCCCAGCACTTGAGACAGAAGAATCATGAGTTCAAGGCCAGCCTGAGCTACATAGTAAGGCTCTCTCTCAAACAACAAAGAAGGATATAATAAAACAATATTATGAAGCTAGAGACCTTTCAGCTACTGAGCACGTGGATCATCTATGTACTGGAAACAGTAAATGGGAAATGAGTAATTGTTTCTTTCCTCATATAGCTAACAACACAGACTACTCTCTAATACATTTAAAACAAGCATTAAGTTGCATCAGAAGGACTGAAATTACTGAGGCTAATGAAGGTTTTAATAAAGCTTTGCAGCAGTGGTCAATTTTGAATGTCATTGGAGTAATTTCCAAATAGCTGACAGGGAAATAGGAACTAAATCAGTTATTCTAACGAAGAGGCAGAACATATAAAAATGTGTGCATTAGAAGATTTTGTAATCTGAAAGCCAGTTTGGATGTAACAGATTAAGTAAAGAGGCTGAGATACGTGGTACTCTATCTAGTCTAAAAGAGTGGCTTTTAGTCCCACAGGTAAATATGAAAACTTTGCGTTTTAGAGTAACTGTACAGTGACATTAGAACTGTTAGCTACATTACCCAGACAAGATAAAGAAAGTGGCAAACCTGGAAATTACATACAATTGCAAAATATGAATCTCGTTGTTTAAAATAGTTCTACTCTTTGACATACTGCTTTTTTACATGAACTTTTGTTAGGACTGTCTTGCTCTTGTAATTTCAATTAAAGCAAAGCCAAACAAACAAACAAAAACCGCTTAAGCAATGGAATGAAAAGTAGAAGGTGAAAGGGTGGAGAAAAGGAAATCAATAAGAAATTAATGTAATCATATATTCAAATCACACATGAAGCCTGGGCTATAAAAACAGCTGAAAGGGAGCAGGAAGATTTGAAAGACAGAATAGAATCAAAGACAAATCAATGAATATGTAAGAGAAAGGAGGAGGGAGTTGAGTGTTACTGATCCTGCCAGTTTAGCTCTCTAGATGGTCACTCGTACTTGAGAGAGATGCGGACCCAGTGTAGGCTTAGAGCAGAGAGAATAAGTCTGATGTTAGCAAAGTTGAACTGGAGGTGCCTGTTGACTCACCGGCTGTCTGGCTAGGTAGTTGGAAATAACACATAGATGTCCAGGAAACAACTAGGTACAGAGGTAGGAGTCATCTTCATACATGTGCTAATTGCAGCTACAAACACAGAAAGTTTATAAAAATTAGAGCCGCCGGGTGGCGGTGGTACACACCTTTAATCCCACGGAAGCACAGCCAGGTGGATCTCTGTGAGTTCGAGGTCAGCCTGGTCAACAGAGTGAGATCCAGGACCGGCACCAAAACTACGCAGAGGAACCCTGTCTTGAAAAACCAAAACAATTAAATAAGTAAATAAATAAAAATAAGAGCCAACAATTATAAAGGACACTTGCTATGGTTTAATACCACTATTTTCCCTCTAAGACATTCTAGAACTTTTTATTTATTGTATTCATTCACATCTTTCAGATGCTGGGCTCTAATCAATAACCTGTAAAATCTTACATCATGTAATCGTAGGAATTACTCAGTTACTGTATTTTTTACATTTTGCTTGAAAACAGATCAGGAAAACAAGTGGATTTCCTAAGAAAGCAAGAAAGTTAACACTTCACTTTGAAGCAGCTAATTATTAACATTAAATGATACTTTGAATCTAGAGCTAGACAACTTAGCTACACCTTCCTCATTTTCCAGTTAGTCAGGAGTTTTTTGTTGCCATCCAATCTGGACATCCACCTGGCTACTTGTTACTGCCTGACCTTTATCACTTGGCTTTTGTTTCTCTTGTTGCCAGCCCTCATAACAGCTTCCAATCAGTTTCTACCCTCTCCACACATTTTGGGTCTTTTAAATCAAAGATAATCTCATGTTTTTTATTGTTCCTGTTGCCTAATGGTAAGAGGGATTAGAAGTAAAAATTGTGCCAGTTATTATAGAGCAGCATGACATGTACATCCCCACATATACAATGATCCT